CCCACCCCTTTATATAATTTAGGATCAGTGTGGAATCTGTGTCTTCTGAAATCTGTCATACAAAGTTAAGAAATAACGAAGATGATGGAGAGGTACACTTAAAATGGAAATGTGAGTAAAACATCCTAAGTTCTGTTGGGCAAAATGAAATTTAAAGTATATTTCTAACCTGCTTGTTATCTCTAAGTACACAGCCTGTATTGCACCAGCCTCCCACATTCTTTTCTACTGTTGGATCGTTCCAGTTTAAAAGCAAGGCTTTCTGGGGTGCCTGGGTGGCTCTGTTGGTTAAGTGTCTGACTCTTGATTTGGGCTCAGGTCATGATCTCACAGCTTGTGAGTTCAAGCCCTGTCAGGCTCCATGCTGACTTCTTAGGACTCTCTCTTTCCCTTTCTCTCTGCTTCTCTCCCTCTCTCTCTCTTTCTCTCTCTCTCAAAATAAATAAACTTAAAAAAATACATTAAAAAAATAAAAGCAAGGCCTTTCTGACTACAAATTACAGAAGGGAAATGCTTTTTTCTTTCTTCTTTCTTTTTTTACCATCTAGTCAGGAAAGATAACCTATGTCTTTTAACATTGTTTAAATGAACATATTTTGTGTTATTAGTCCAAAGAAAAGAGATTATCAAGTCCACCACTGTGTATACTGTTTTGTTCAGTGATTTTTTTTTCTGGAAAAAACTTTTTTCATTTCTAGACTTTATAGGAATATTTCCATTATATATATATATACTATATATATCACTATATATATATAGTATATACTATATATATCAGTATATAATACTGATGATTATAATACTAATATATATATACATATGTATATATACTGATGCATATTACATAACAACTATAGCAAAAACAGTACACGATATAGAAATTTAATATATAACATTCATTATTAAACAACATTCAGTGTCACTTGGATATACCTTGTGGGCATTTTCCTTTCGTATCAGTTTTATCTTTAAAAGGGTACGATGTCTATGTATTTTAATCCTAATGTTAAATGACATTAGCAAAAGTATAGAACATTTGGAATGAAGACACATGCACATAAGCACACACATATATACACACTCCCAAAATATGAACTCAGCATAGTCCAGAGAGGCTAGACAAACTCAAATAGAATCCTTTCCACTAGTTTCTACAGGCTGCAGATGTTATTTTCTTGTAAAATCTTCATAGCAGGAAGGTCTGTCTACAAGTTTTCTGCTACCTTCTACTCCAGAATTCAGAAATTAACTGAAGATTCTGTCCTTCCCTGTTATCACTTCTTTTCTCTCCTCCCCTTCGAACCAAAAAGCACAAGCTAAGGATGATGCAGTTCTAAAAAGGCAATTACTGTGATAATATGAACTTTAAAAGTATTTTGTAGCTCTTCAAGAAGCAAAAGCTTTTGTCTTCAATGTTCACAGTTATGTTTTAAATGCTACTTTCTCTCTGTCCAGTGGAGGTGAAAGAAATGGCAGAGAGAGCAGCCACCGGGCAGCTGGCAGTACCACCATGGCATCCTCAGAGTAGTGCGACTTTAGAGGATGAAGCTAAAGATGAGCCTGATTCCCTGCTGCAGCCCCCGCTTGGGGACCCTGAGAAAGTGGGTTGGCAGTGCACTGTAGAGTATCCCAGGGAAAATGATGAGTCAAGAGAAAATGGAAAATGTAACAAAATGGGTAACAGTGACTGTGACAGTGACCAGTATGGCAAACAGCCTGGACCTCAAAGCTTCAACAGTAAGTGCAGTTGGAGGAATTGGGATGGTTGAGCTCTATCAAGTTATTAGCTCTCAAATATAAGTAAGCATCCTGGAATATTTCCTTTGCTTGGTCTTCTCCCCTTTCCCATATATCTGGGATCCCTGAATTCCAGGGGAAAACAGCATACCCTTTTGATTCCATTGTCCTTCCTGTAGGTAAAGAAAATCCAGAAATTCGTGAGTTTTTCTGTTACTGGAGCAGACCATTTGCTCAAAGGGAGAAAAATAATCTGTATACCATGACCCTGTTGTTGGCTCTAACCTGGCAAGGAATTGAACCTTTTTTTTTTTTTTTACCTGAGTACAGTAGTAGATGGCCATTCCCTACTGCCCATTTCTTTGCATTTTCAGCCAGAAAAACTTCACTGGCTCCTAGAGATTCTGTGCTAGAGGAATCTAGAGACAAATGGCATTGACTGTCATCACTTTGTAGATTTGCAGGTTAAAACTGAAGGCTATGCATTTCTACCTGGTAATTTGCATGCAATCAGGGCATGGAATATTATTTCACAGTTGTTTACAAATCAAAGAAAGGTACATCTAAAATTTTCATTTATGTTAGGTAGAAAACCTACTGGCTTGAGGTCTTTTGGTATTTAGAATCTGTTCCTTATCAAGCATCCCCCTTGAATGGGTGGGCCAAAGGATTGATGATACAGGACCACGTGTTGGGGCCAGGCCAAACTTACAGTCTCCACTTTCTGGACTGAACCTGACATATGGGACATGGCCATCCTTGGCAGAATATTCACAGATCTCTTCTCTCCTGCCACTCCTCTTCCCTTCCATGCCATCTGAATATCATGGAATGACTATGGCCCTGGTTGTGTTATAATCATTAGGTATCAGGCACCTGCCTTCCAGCAAAAATGTGTATCCAGAGCATAGTGAAGTCTTTCAAGCAAGTTCTGACGCATCTGTGGTCATTGAGAAATCTTACAGTGTAAGTAATATGGCCTGCAGAACCAGGTTGAACCCAAGGACCTAATAAAGTAGAACTGAGTTGTTGTTATATATTATGACATTGAAATAATATCTATAGTAGTTCTTTTTTGTTGGAGTATGTGCTTCGCATGAATGGAAAAGTATTTTCTCCCTGCCTAAATACTGTTTGAGTCAGTTCAACTCAAAGCATTGTGTATCTTGGGGCTTGGGTGGAACACAGACAAGTGTCAGATTCTGGAAACTCTTGAGCTTTCTTTCTAGCTGCGTAGATGATGAGACCAACTGGAATCACAGTGTGAGGTCAGGTATCAAAGCTCATGGCCCAGCAGGTGACTGAGGTCCAATTGGAGTAGGAAGAGCAAGGCCAGGGTTGTGATGAGAGGGCCTTCTTCACCTAGAGTGTCCTCTGAGACCCAAATTCAGCTCTCAGTAGAAGGAATGTGTTTCTGCCTGGCAACTGCACCTCAGCAGGATCTGTGCATTGAGGCTGCAGCCCTGTGTCAGGGGTTTAACACATCCTTGAGGTATGTAATTGGGCCACAGTCCAGCCAGGCTAAGGAACCAGAGCGTGTTATCATTGTGATAGGAGGACACAGTCACTTAAAGAATATAAACAGCAACTGAAAATGAAATAATATAAAAATACAATTGTGGTAACATTTGAGATCTTTCAAAGAACATACTATTATATTTAATCACGGCACACAAACCACCCACAGGACAATTTAGGACAATTTATTCTTTTTCTCACATGGGGGCTGGAAGGATAGGCCATGTTAAGCATACTGGCTTGGCTGGAGAAGCAGGTCTGTCAGGGAAGTGGGGAAGGTATGTGAGGCCAGGCTTGTCTGAGAAGTTTCAATTTGATACAAGAGGTGAAGGGGAGCAGCTGCCAAGTGTGCAGGAAGAGGAAGCATGTGGCAAAAGCAGCATCCAAGGAAATAAATCATAAAACCTCTGCAAAGGGATCATTGAAGGTGTGGAAAGAAGCTAGTTAGTTGCCTGTGCATGTGGTGATCAGGGCCTGAACATGGAGAAATAAGCAGAAAAGGAAGGGGTGGAATGGAGATGGTGAAGAAATAGCTGTTACTTTTGAATCTTCAAGTTTTATTTTTATTATTGAGATTGCATTGCTATTTTTAACATTATACTCCTTCACTTTTAAACTGTAGTGCCCACGGGACTCCTTATTTTTGAGCGGCCTCAGCTTCCTCATCTGGAAGACGATGCCAACACACGGACTGCGTCTGTGGGTGTTCAAACTCAGTGCCAGCTTGAGTTGTCTAGGGCCTTTCTTCTTAGAATTTCAGAGCAGAAAGGTCACCTAACTCCCTCCCCCTCCATTGTACAGATGAGGATGATGAGCCCCAGGATTTTCATTTGCCTCACTTGCTGCAAGGGTTCACAGCTTGCTGTGGGGAAGGAAGGCAGAGGCAGGTGGTGCAAGCAGGTGGGGGGGGGCGGCCCAAGCGATTTTAGATAACCCCGTTATTAACACTGTATCCAACTATAAAGGGATTTGTTTACAATGAACACGGACCTAAAAGTGATTTCCTACATTATTAATAGGATCAGTCCATGCAATCAACTTGTTCACCAGAGTCTTCTGAGGATGTAACAGATGAATTTTTAACTCCAGACTATGAATATTTTCATTCTTCAACTGCTCAAGAAAACTTAGCTCTAGAGGTAAAAACCACAGTTTAGGGTAAAGTACTTTTCAGCTTTCTCTATTGCCTTATTTCTTTTAAATTATTTTTATTGAGAAAAATAGCTTACACATAAAAGCGTCTAATTTCGACTTAGTGTTTTCATGTGTTTTGAAAAGACATCTGAAAAATAAGATTTGTGAGAATGGAAAGTCATATGCAGTTTCTCCCAAAACTGTGGTTCCTGTATTTGTACAGCACTTTGTACTTATTTTAAAAACACTTTTCTTCATGTCACCTAATTCACATATCCTTCCTGTGGGGAAGAGAAGAAGGCCTGCTGTTATTCCTCTGTGTGAAGAAGTGGTGATCCACAGATGTAGGGAATTAGCCCTGGCCTGCCAAGCTTTAGTGGCAAGAGAGCCAGGATTAGAGGCCAGGGCTCAGCATGAATGTGGGGCTGTGCAGTGCATGGGGCTTTCTTGGGAACCTGCCCAACTTTTGCAAACATCTATTTGTACAGAGTATTTTCATTTATAAAATGAAGCTCCTTACATTTTATTACGTATTTGTTTGTTTGTTTATTTATTTATTTATATAATTTCTACCTCACCTTCTACTGACCTACCATTTTTTGGACCTTTTACCACTATGGAAGGTGGGGTAGAGGAAAGGGAGGATTGTAGATCTCAAACACAATATTTGACTGGCAGGAATTCAGTGATGCAACAAAAGCATCACTTCCACTCTTCTGCACTTCTGATAACAGTTTTCTATTGTTAATCCTTCAGCTATTCTGGCTTTTAATGTGAGCAGACTGGCATGTTAAGAAAATCTTTAATAAAAAGATATACAGTACATATACACATATTATGTATACATATACATATAAAGTGTAACATAGAGGAGAGTACACAGCTCTTAAGTGTACAGCCTATTGACTTTCCCAGACTTGAACACATTCATGTAACCAACAAGATCAAGAAGCAGAACATTATGGGTCCTCCAGAAGACCGCTGTGGGCTTCTTCCCAGTCACTGTCACCTCTCAAAGGAACCAGTGTTCTGACTTCTCACCCCCCAGAAAGTGGCTTTGCAGGCTGGGCCATTTTTCCAACTTTCTAGCTTTTCTGATAAAAGTCCTAGGAATCAAAACATCTTTGTGGGAAGGTTGGGGGAGTGGAGGGGATAATATAAAGAAGGGAAAAGTCACACAGTTCTTCCTCACAGTGGGGGCTGGGGAGGGCTTGTTGAGGAGGAACATAAAGTACAAATGAGCACTTAATGTCTTCGAAGCAGGTTTATTCTTTTTCTATAAAAGATGCAGGAACCTTAGGAAGATTTTCAAGGTTTAAGAACATCAAGAAGTTCTCCCTCTACTTTTGATGATATGACGGCCTCCAGTGACCCTTCTTTCTTTGCTCTTTTATTCTTTTGTAGACTTCAAGTCCTATAGAAGAAGACTTTGAAGGAATACGAGATGCATTTGCCCAACCTCGAGGTTCTGGTAATAAGCTCTTAAGGCAGATTCCTTTTCACTTGCCTTTACTTTCTGTTGGATGACAGATCTTTAAAGCTGGAACAGTCCTTAGAGATAACCTCCTCCAGGCCTTTGATTTTACAGATGAGGAAACCTAGGCTTTGTGATTTCTCCTCATTAGAATGAATCTCCTGCTCCTCACCAGCCTCATAACATCCGCATATCATGTTTTCTGTACGTCCCCTTGCATCCTTATAGCATATGTTTAGTGGTTGCTGCTGCTTCCCCCGCCTTCCCAGCCTTTCATTAGATTTCTGGCCCCTTTGTGGCACATAGCAGGTGCTTGGTTATATTCACTGAGCTGACCTGAGGGATTGACCCAGGCTGTACAACTGGTTATTGATGTAACAAAAACTAGAACTAGTTTTTCATGTCCTTCACCCTAAGAGGCAGAGTTTGTCATTTTCCTTTGCTTGCTTAGAATCTTGGCAAAGAGTTAATAACAGCCAATAGTGCATAGTCAACATAACATCCTTCCCTCGGGAGGCCTTGGGTTCTGTATAACTCAGCAACTGCTTTCCATTACATGGGAAGTTAACCTTGAATCAGCAACCCGGGTGTGGCACAAGATAAGATAGAAGTCAACCACTGATTCTGATACAGACATTTAAAAAATTGTGTACTTTTACTCTTTTAAGGTATACAACTGTCTATTTTAAAGTTTATTTATTTGGAGAGAGGGAGAGAGAGAGCACAAGTGGGGGGGGGGCAGAGAACAAGGGAGAGAGAGAGAATTCCAAGCAGGCTCCATACTGTCAGCACAGAGCCCAGCGTGGGGCCTGAACCCATGAACTGTGAGATCATGACCTGAGTCGAAATGAAGAGTCAGATGCTTAACCCACTGAGCCACCCAGGTGCTCCTACAACTGTCTATTTAAAAAAAATTGTTTCTAATGTTTATTTATTCCTGAGACAGAGAGAGACAGAGCATGAGTGGGGGAGGGGCGGAGAGAGAGGGAGACACAGAATCAGAAGCAGGCTCCAGGCTCTGGGCTGTTAACACAGAGCCTGACGTGGGGCTTGAACTCACAAGCCGTGATATCATGACCTGAGCCGAAGTCGGTCATTCAACCGACTGAGCCACCCAGACATCCCTACAACTGTCTATTTTAAAGTCAGAGTTACCTATCTACTGAGCCAGGTAGCTATTTTCAGTCATGTCTCAACATTCTGAACCCAGACAACGTGGGCTTGGATTCTGAACTTACTGCCTTCCTCCTGCTATATACTCTGGTTTCTATCTCTAACCTGATTCATGCCCCTGTCACAGTTGACATCATCTTAAGCAGTAGGCTTTTAGATGAAAAGTTAAATTCTCAGGACAACGTGTATTAAAAGTCTGCAGACCTGGATCTTGGGTCACCCACTTCTTTCATGTGGCCTCTGCCTGCAGTTACTTTCTGTGTGAGCCTGACCTGCACAAAGCCATTTCACTTCTGTTTAGAAGAAGGTTGAGTGGGATAGAGAAGTTGTGGGGCAGGTAGGTCAGAAATCCAGGGCTACTTTGATACAGTCATCTGAAGTACACGAAGAAACCTCTGATTTCCACTCATGTCCCGCTTTCACCCTTCTCTTCCTCCTTTTCCACTAGGGCTCTGACATATACCCCGTCCACACCAGGCGATGCCACAGGTAAAAATCGGACACATGCCAGGTTCCAAGCCCAGTTTTGCCACTGATTTTTTTTTTCATGCATGATCATTTCACCCCAGGGCTCCATTCTCTCTTTGTATAAAGTAAAGGAGAGGGTCAGACTGCAAAATCTCTTAAGTTTTTTTCCAGCTGTAATGGTGCTTATTAGGAATTCCTTAATGCTTTCTAGGGCTTTATGCCTCCTAGGTATTTGAAAGAGGGTCACAGGAAGAAGAGCCCTCATGCTTCTCTACTGACGTTTCAGACCTCCTTGGTACCTGCTAAAGGTGACACTGTTTTGGTGAGCCTCCCCATCGTCCACCATACTACTTGCTTTAAGAAATGGCCTTGGGATCATGAGCATTTGCCGAGAGGGCAGGCTGCTCTGCCTGTCCCCTTCTCTATAAACAAAGCAGTACACTGGTGGGAAGAATAATGAATGGTGGCCCTGTCTGCCCAGAGGTCTGCATAGTATCTAACCTGAGAACTGGTGGGGAGTAACCTTGGATACTTGATATCAAGAAGAACAGAAGAGGTGCACCTGGGTGGCTCAGCCAGTTAGGCATCTGACTCTTGGTTTCGGCTCAGGGCATGATCTCACAGTTTCATGAGTTCAAGCCCCATGTTGGGCTGCTCCGTGCTGTCAGTGCCGTGCCTGCTTGGGATTTTCTGTCTGTCTCTCTCTCTGCCCCTCCCTCACTCACACTGTCTCTCTGTCTCTCTCTCTCTCAAAATAAATAAACTTAAAAAAAGAACGGAAGATAGTTGAATTAGCTCCTTAGTACTCAAGCCCCCCACCCCCATTCTTTAAGTGGAGTATGATGGCCAAGAGGCTCAGCACTCTGGGAATGCCCAGCTAATGGTCTTTTCTATTTGGAATCTTTAGTGAACAAACAGTTCTTGGTTTCAACGCCCCCTGGTGTCTGTTGACAGGAACCAGGTCAGTTTGCCTTCCTGAAAAGACAAAACAACATTTGTCTCCAGAAATAACTGTGCTGTTATAACTGAAAGGCCAGTAAATGGCTTGATTGTATTTTGAGTGTCAGAATATAGTTACTCCCTCTGAGCAAGGAAAATAAACTTTCAGAGCAAAAACCTCTCCTATAGCACTCAATCCAAACCCAATTAGGAAGTACTTTGTTTATCCAGATTATTTCTCATTCTGAACCAGACCAAGGGAAATTCTAGAGAATGAAAACAATAATTTGAGTTGGTAAAAATTCAGTAAAAAAGATGCATTTATTTTATTCTTTCAGGCGAAGAAAAGTTCCAAATGAGAAAAAGCCTTGGAAGGAATGCTGAGATTTTGACCAGGTCTCAATTCCAACCTATACGAACGTATGTGCTAGTATTTTAGTCACAGTTTCAGACTCACAGAAGTAACGTTAAATGTTGATAATGTCCCATATTTATATATTGCTTGTCTTCAAATGTATTTGTCACCACATTATAAAAATTTGCTTTGGGGAATTTAACTTTCTTAGGACTTTTTCAGCAGGATTGTGAGGGATCGTGAAAAGGAGTCATTATCTGTATTCAGATCCTGACTCTGCCTTTCCTATCCCTATGACCTTGGTTAAGTTTCTCAACTCCTCTCTTCTATTTCCCCATTTATAAAATTAGGAATAAGAATCCTTATAACTCCTGGCATTCTTTACAGAGGAATGAAGACTTATGTTCACATAAAAACATATACATGAGGGGCGCCTGGGTGGTTTAGTCCGTTGAGCTTCCGACTTCAGCCTAGGTCATGATCTCACCATTCCAGAATTCGAGCCCCACGTGGGGCTCTGTGCTGACAGCTCAGAGCCTGGAGCCTGTTTCAAATACTGTGTCTCCCTCTCTCTCTCTGCCCCTTTCCGACTTGAGCTCTGTCTTGGTCCCTCAAAAATAAATAAACATTTGAAAAAAAAAAAACACATACATGAATGTTTATAGCAACTTTATTTGTAATAGCCAAAAACTGGAAACCCAAACATTGCCTAACAAGTGAATGATTTAACAGACTGGTACATCCATACTATGGAATACTTCTCAGCAGTAAAAAAGAATGAACTATTGATACCTTCAACAACCTGGATAAATCTCCAGAGAATTGTGCTGGATGGAAAGCACAATCCCTCAAAGTTATTTACTATATGATTCCACTTATATGGCATTCTTGAAATGATAAGATTATAGAAATAAAGAACAAATGAGTGGTTTCCAGGGGATAGGGAAGAGGTAAGGAGTAGGAGGGAAGTAGACATGCCTATAAAAGGGGCAGCCTAAGGGGATCCCTGCGGTGATAGAAATGTTCTGTATCTTGACTGTATCAGTGTTGATATCTTGGTTGTTCTGTAGATTTGCAAGATACTACCATTCAGGGACACTTGGGTCAAGTGTGTTTCTTTAAACGTCATGTGAATATTCAGTTACCTCAAAATTAAAAGTTTAATTAAAAACACTAATAATAGAGGTAAAGTACCTGACACAACAACATTCATTTTACTTTCCCTCTCTCTAGGTCTCAATTTCCTTACCTATAATAATTACAGCTGGTGTTTCCTAAGTAACTACCATATTCAGTCCTGTGAGGCACATACTGGCATCTCCATTTTGCAAATAAGGAAAGCAAAGTTCTGAGAGTTTTAAGTATTTTTTCTAAGGTCGCAGTTAGTAAGTGGCTAACTGTAAGTTAGCAAATGGTTAGTAAGTGGTCAGGATAGGCTAGATTATGCTATATAACAAACAACCTCCAGATTTTCATGGCTTAAAACAGCAAACATTTATTTTTTGCTCATGCTCCAAGTCCACCATGGGTTGGCCAGGAGTGTGCAGTGCTCTATTACCTTCTATCCAAGATCCAGGCTTAGGGAGACTCCATCCTTGTGCTTCCTTGATTGCTGAGGCAGGAAAGGGAACATGAGTTGTGCACTATCCTTAAGGTTTCTGCCCAAAGTGACTCACATCACTTTTGCTTATACTTCACTGGTTAAAACAAGTGAGGTAGCCATTTATATAAATTAGGAGGGCCAAAAAGTGCTGTTGTACTTGTATACTTGAAAGGAGAAACAAATACTCTAGTGAACAGAATTAATAAAGTCATAACTCAATCCAAAACCCATGTTCTTTCCTTTGTACCTTTGGTCTCCGGATTGAACCCATGTTCTTTCCTTTGTACCTTTGGTCTCAGGATTGTTGCAAAGATTAAAAATATGAAAACATATGGAAGGATTTCGCATGGGAGCTGACTTATAGTTTATATTTAGTGGATATTGAAATTGAATCCTACCTATTAGTTAAAGTAGAAAAAGGTCAAGTTTGTCTTCAGTATTCTTTTCTGGCCGTTTTTTGGCATAAGTCTTTCTTGGCCCCACCTGATGTTCCATGTAGGACGATGTCTCACAGCTGGTAAGGCCCCACCACTGTGCCCTTTGCTCCAGCCTCCATCCCCAGCAAATTTCCTGTGATCCATTGATTTCCTCAGGAACTTGCTCACTGTCCTGTAGTATCATCAGCTGATTTCAGATGGGCTGAAAGGAGACTGAGGCCCAGAGTAAGGCTCAGACATGCCTGAAAACATATGGCTAATCAGTAACAGAGCCAGGACCAGAACCAACTTCCTACTTTTTTTTTTTAATTTTATTTTTTATTTTTTAAAATTTACATCCAAATTAGTTAGCATATAGTGCAACAATGATTTCAGGAGTAGATTCCTTAGTGCCTCTTACCCATTTAGCCCATCTGCCCTCCCACAACCCCTCCAGTAACCCTGTTTGTTCTCCATATTTATGAGTCTCTTCTGTTTTGTCCCCCTCCCTGTTTTTATATTATTTTTGTTTCCCTTCCCTTATGTTTATCTGTTTTGTCTCTTAAAGTCCTCATACAAGTGAAATCATATGATTTTTGTCTTTTTCTGACTAATTTCACTTAGCATAATACCCTCCAGTTCTATCCACGTAGCTGCAAATGGCAAGATTTCATTCTTTTTGATTGTCGAGTAATACTTCATTGTGTATATATACCACACCTTCTTTATCCATTCATCCATCAATGGACATTTGGCCTCTTTCCATACTTTGGCTATTGTTGATAGTGCTGCTATAAACATGGGGGTGCATATGTCCCTTCGAAACAGCACACCTGTATCCCCCTAGTATTTACTACTAGGATAAATACATAGTAGTGCAATTGCTGGGTCGTAGGGTAGTTGTTTTTAGTTTTTTGAGGAACCTCCATACTGTTTTCCAGAGTGGCTGTACCAGCTTGCATTCCCACCAACTTTCTATTTTTGATTTAGCGCCCTTTCTGCTGCTTCTTACACTGGGCTGACAAACTGGTCCATTGTACCAGGTTAGTGCACTCTGCTGACTGGGGATTCATATGATTTTCTCATTTTCTCTCCTACAGTACTGAAGGTGAACAAGAGGAGACATTAAAGGAATCACCAAAGGAGCTGAAAGAGAAAGACATGTAGGGCCACCAAAGGGTTGCCTAAGGATGCTGTGTAAAGTCTTGGTTTTAGGGAAAAATGAGGAATTTCCTTATTTGTGGGAAAATATATTCCTCCCGTTTTTATTCATACATTTAATGTGAGCGTGTTTCTTCTTTCACCAAAAAGCTGTTAACGATATGATCTAAATTAATAGCATCTTACAATCAAGGAAATATAATGATGATGATGATGATGATATTAATAAGTTTATACTGGAGGTAAATGAAATCTGTTTTCCATGTAAATATACCTTCATCTATGGAAATAGTTTTATTTTTAGCTGCTGAGATATGTTTAAAGTTAGTACTCTTTTTAGGATATTCTCTGAGATTCTCTTTAAGATACATAAGATATTCTAAGATAGTCTCTAATTCTGGTCTGCTGCCAAGTAAAGATTGTTGTCAAGAGCATCCTTAAAAAGCACCCCTCAGGAAAATATTGTTTGATTTTTCTAAACATCTTCTCCTAATTACTTTGTACTTTAAATTTCTTAGATCACTGACAGACATTCAAGACCTGTCTAGTATTTCCTATGAACAAGATGGTTCCTTTAAGGAAGTCTCATGCAAAACACCCAAAATAAACCATGCACCTACAAGTGTCAGCACTCCACTCAGCCCAGGTAATCACTGCGGGAGAAGTGTTTGGGAGAAGAACTAACAGCCCCTGCCCCATTGGCTTTGGGAAGCCAGGCTGTGAGAAAAGACTGCCAGGTGTTTCCTCAGTGTAGAGGTGTCTCCTTAGCACCAGAGTTGAAGGGGATAATCCCATGGGGGGCCAGGTAGGGGTTGGTGGTACTGGTTATAAGCAGCTCTAAGGAGTTTTTTTACTTTAGTGGTAGAGACAGGCAAATGCAAACTGTACTTTGTACTCTAGCACTACTTAAAACCTATCTTGTGCTTAAACACAGTTTTTTTTTTTTATGAAACACTTCTTATTTTTAAATTTTTTAAATATATAATTTACTGTCAAGTTAGCTAACATACAGTGTATATACAGTGTGCTCTTGGTTTTTCAGGTAGATTCCTATGATTCATCACTTACATACAACACCCAGTGCTCATCCCACAAGTGTCCTCCTAAATGCTCATCACCCATTTCCCCCCTTCCCCACCCCCCATCAACCCTCAGTTTGTTGTATTTAAGAGTCTCTTATGGTTTGCCTCCCTCTCTGTTTGAAACTAGTTTTTCTCCTTCCCTTCCCTCATGGTCTTCTGCTGTGTTTCTCAAGTTCCACATATGAGTAAACACACATAGTTTTGAGTCTTGCAACCTCAATGGCCAGCATCACATAGCCTCTCTCTGGTGTCCTTAGTTCCAGTATATTTGTGGTTCAAATAATCTCCCTTTCTTTGGATGGCCAAATTTAGAGACTGTCATTGTTTTTATTTTTTTTATTTAAAAAAAAAAAATTTTTTTTTTCAACGTTTATTTATTTTTGGGACAGAGAGAGACAGAGCATGAACGGGGGAGGGGCAGAGAGAGAGGGAGACACAGAATCAGAAACAGGCTCCAGGCTCTGAGCCATCAGCCCAGAGCCTGACGCAGGGCTCGAACTCACGGACCGCGAGATCGTGACCTGGCTGAAGTCGGACGCTTAACCGACTGCGCCACCCAGGCGCCCCAAGACTGTCACTGTTTTTATACTTTGAGAAGCTATATCTCATATCTGTGATTATTTTAGTTATTAACAACTTGGAGAATCCCTGGTATAGATACATAGTTTTGTGGTTTTGTTTTTAAATAATGTAGAGGATTCAGAAACTAATTGCCCTCTTTTCTACAACAGGGTCAAGTTCTTCAGCTGCCAGTCGGTATAAAGACTGCCTTGAAAGTATCACATTTCAGATTAAAACAGGTTCTACCTCATGCTGGAACAGTCAGGAATCCATTCAAACTTCATCTGATAGATTTACAACTGTTCGAGAGAAAGCAAAGAGCCTAGATTCCTTTCTTACTTCCTCTGAAACTGCCCCTTCAAGACTGACCGATCTCGTAAGTATACTGATTCTGCTTTCCACACTCATGGAGTCAGCCCAAAGGCCTCAGGGATCCAAAGTGCCAAGATTTCTCCAAATCCATTATACAAAGAAAGCAAGAAATAAATTGGATCTTCTCTGGGCTTCCCTGAGGTATCTTTCTGAGTCTGTATTCTAGGATAGATCCTAGGTTTTTGTGCCTTTTTTTGCCCCAGAGATAACATCTGGCAATTTCTCCAAAGAGCCAAATTGTCATAGCTTAGGATGCTGCCTTCACCTGCATTGTACTCTCTGTCTACCCGCATCCTACTTACTTGAGGAGGCTTGGGTTCTGCTTCCTCTTTGATGCCTCCTCTGCTTAGTTCCCTGAGAGGTTTGATTGCTCTCTACCTTCTCTGAACTCCTGAACTAACAGTCTGCAATAAAAACACATAATTGTGTGCTACCTTTTCCTCCCCTCCTCCTTCTCCCCCTGACGTCCTTCTTTCTTTTTCTCTTCTCTCTCCCTTATATTCCATATGTGTAGACTCTTCAAGAAAACTACAAATTCCTTACTTGGCACTGTTCATTAAAAATGTTGACCATTCTATAGGCAGACTGATTACTTGCTTTGGCCCTCAATTAAAAATCAATTGTTATCTTCTTTGGGCATTTGACTCACAAAAGATTCACTCTAAAGTAGGGAGATAAAGAGTTTTATGCTTTCATTCAATAAATTGTTAACTGGGCAGGTTTTAAGTGCCAGGTACCCTGCCAAGCCCTCTTCTAGGCACCAAATGTGAATAAGATAAACCTAGTCCCTGCCCCAGAGGAGCTCCCCACCTAGTGAGAAAGGCTGGCTAACACAATACAGAGGTAAGTACTGGGTGCTATGGAGGCAAAGACTGGGTGAGAAGGGATCCCAGAGGAGGGGACATTTGAAAGAGTTTGACTCAATCAACAAAACAAGTGGCTTATTCCATCAATGAAACACAGGCTTCATCTTGGAAATGATTGAACTGCATTTGCCTTTTGAGCTCAGTACATGTGTCAATTACCATGTTTACATCTTACTTATAGAAAAGATTGCCTGCATTTACTGGGGCCGGTTCCTCCAGCATTGCTAAGTCACCTGACACATCATCCCATGCCACCCAGAGAAAGAGCCTGCAGAAAGGTACCCTGTGTTTAATATGAAAATACAACCAAAATACAAAATAATAGTAAGCCAATTTAAGGGAACTTTAGTCTCATAGTTGATGCTACATTAAATTCAAACAAAAATGCTATTTTCCATCTGATTATAAAAGTAAAATATACTCATTAAACTTGGAGAATAAAAAGAGCTTTAAAAGAAAACTATCATTTAATTCTACCACCATTTTTTAACCTCTTGTACTATTCAGTACATAGTTTTTCTTTTTATTTATTTATTTTTTTTTAATTTTTTTTTTCAACGTTTATTTATTTTTTGGGACAGAGAGAGACAGAGCATGAACGGGGGAGGGGCAGAGAGAGAGGGAGACACAGAATCGGAAACAGGCTCCAGGCTCTGAGCCATCAGCCCAGAGCCTGACGCGGGGCTCGAACTCACGGACCGCGAGATCGTGACCTGGCTGAAGTCGGACGCTTAACTGACTGCACCACCCAGGTGCCCCCATAGTTTTTCTTTTTAAAATTAAAAAAAAAAATTTTTAGAGAGAGAGAGCATGCAAGTGGGGGAGAGGAGGAGAGGGGGAGAGAAAGAGAATCTTAAGCAGTGTGGAGCCTGATGACGGGCTTGATCCCACGACCCTGGGATCATGACCTGAGCTGAAATCAAGAATCTGATGCTCAACCAGCTGAGCCACCCAGGTGCCCCCATTTTTTTAAAGTAAACTGTGCCCAATGTAGGGCTCGAACTCACAACCCTGAGATCAAGAGTTTCAGGCTCTGCCTACTGAGCCAGCCAGGCACTCTCTCTTTCATATTTCTAGAAATGTATAAAAATGTATGTATTTTTAGCATAGTTGATATCATATTGTGTATTATCTCCGGCCTATTTTTTTTCTTTTGATGCTATGTTTTGAGGATCTCCCCTTAGTGAAAATTATTTGTTAAATATATGTAATGGCTTCATAATAGTCCGTTCTACATATGTTGCTCAACTATGCCATTATGTTGAAGATTTATATTGTTTTCTAATTTTTGTTCTTTGTATAAAAATCTTTGTACCTCTGATCCCTTTTTTAGGATAGATTCTTAGGAGATGGTTTTCAGATCAAAGGATATGAGAATGTTAACAACTCTTGAGGCATATTGCCTTTGCTATATTAATTTTAATGTCTTATGTTTTGGTACAATTCTTGGATTTTGTGAATTAAGCTGAGGGGTTTTATTTAAGGTTATAAGGAGGGGAAGGCCCAAAGAGTGGTTGTTCTTATATCCCCTGGCCTGATAACCTATAAAAGACCTTCCATTTTATTTTTTATTCATTTTGACTGGCCCAGACTGTATCCCTCCAGGAGCCCTATGCCAGATTAGGCCCCCAGCCTCTTAGTAAGAATTTATACTTCCCCTACCCTAAATATCTTTGGGAGGGAGAGACACAGATCAAGAAATACTGGGATAAGGGGTAAAGCAGGAAAGGATTTGGAGTAAAAAGGGGAGTAAATCCATTCACATGTTAGGAGGTCTCAACTAGAACTGCTAATGTAAGAGGCTGTCTTCCTGCCTCAGTTTGTTTCATTGCTGAGAAGTCCTATGTCAAATTCATGTGGAAGCCTGGAAAATCCAGTTCAGGGTCAGAAAGGTGTTAAGCCATTTTTCTCTTTATGTTTTTTAAGCATTAGTAGAAGCCATTTCACAGCATCATGTTGATGAGCTACCACCACCATCTCAGGAGATGCTTGACGAAATTGGTAAGGGATGTTCAATACAGAATGTACTCCATGGTCCTGTTATGGTCACTGACCACAATATAGTTCTTTGTCTCAGGTGTAGGTACTAGTACAAATGGCCCTAATAAGAAGGTCTAACTGAATGAACAATTCAGGAAGGAGCAGTTTTCCAATAAAGTGGGCCTCACATTACTACTGAAACCTGCAGGATATTAGCCTGTGTCTGTTGTCATTTTGTTACTTTAAAGGGCCTATGGTAATGATTCTAAGAAGAATAACAATATTTAAGTGGTTTATTATGATGAGATTGTTTTATTAAAAGAATATTTCACCTCCTTTTGGAACCAAACCAGCTATACCTTGGAGGCCTGAAGTCTGGCTACTAAGGTTGAGACATCCTGTACTTTCAGTTTTGCCATTAGCAGGAGGTATTAGCGGTATTGGCATCATGGATGAATCACCTTCTCAGGGGCAGAGATGTCAGTGGCACAAGATGTAATGAGACCAGAATTTTCCATCTCAGACAGAGACCCAGCTATACCAGCTCAATTTTACTTGTAGCTGGATTGGCTGGCCCTGCCCAGCTGAGCCAATGCTGAAAGTACATGGAGGCATTGGGCCAGGTGGTTTCTCACTTGAAGAGTGAGAAGAGACGTGATTGTTCTCTCCTTGACAGCCTGGTTGACCAGCTTCTTACTCTGAAAGGACGCATCTTGGCAGACCTCTCACAGTCCAGTTCTTGGTATGGGGCCTCTAGAGAATTTCCCGATATGCACCAGCTATTTTTCAGGGTCTCTGAGGTTTTGTGTCTCATCAGGAAGAAGGAGGTAAATGAGGACTTATGTGGTCTGACTCAATGGACAGCTACCATCTAGGCTATCACAACCCCCAGCCCCTGATTATTGGTCTGATGAACTAGGGTGGAGCCAGTCAGAGCTGCCAGACCTTCCTTTTTTCTTTTTCTGTACTCATAGGCCCCTTCACCTCATCACACCTCTTCCCCAAAGCCACAGGGTCATAGGGTTGTTGGGTCAGGCTCTTAGGGTGCCTACCCCTTAGGGCTACCCCTAGGGCTTTCCTTCTCTAGAATGCCCCAAGGAGTCCTTGCAAATTCTTTCTCTCCAGTTGTTTTTCTTAGTACAGTAATAGAACTGCTGCTTATGAGAGTAGAGGTCACCCACACATGTCCAGCTCAGATAGATTCTCAGTGTCATTTTTCTTTTGTCATGACTTAAGGCAGTATTTGTAGGCTCCTTTGCAGTTTGACCTTAGTGATACTTTTCTTCTGGATCCTGCTGTCTTCTCTCTTAGTCACCATATAGATTCCCCCATTTCAGCAGCTGTTAGCAGCCTTCCTCCTAGGTTCCAGCCTCATGGCACAGCTGTACCCCAACACACTCTGCAGAAACCTTTTCTCATTTTACTCATGGGAATTATCTGGACCAGGTTTCTAGGTGATGTCTGTACTTTGACACAGGTCAGTAATTTCCCAGAAAGACAAAATTGAGAGGTCACTTGGGTAGTTTCTTCTAATAATGGGCACTCCCACCTGATTATTATAAATCATCATTCCATTGTTTCACCTCAAGAGAGCTTTGGAGAGTGACCTGGTGCTGACACCTGTGCTCTTTTGGAGGGCCCACATCCACAGCTCTAGGCTTCTGACAAGGGCCTAACAGGGAGGATCCTCTCGAACTCTAGGATATGGGTGATCTTTTAAGATTAATAAAGGACTATCTTTAACAAGGATAAAAATGAATTTTTTATTTCAAGTTATTTCAAGTGATCAAATGGGGGCCCCTTGATGCCCAGGAGCTGCCAGGAAAGGCCTGCTTCCTGACCTGCAGGAAGAGAGACCTCTGTGCCTGCACACAACAGGGCTGCACCAGGGAGTCCAGGGTCCCTGTGTGTGCCGCCTCGCAGCTGTCTCACTGCTCTGCTGTGGGGAGCACTTGAAGGATACTGTGCAGCCACAAATGCAAAGCAGTATGCAGTTTGGCAGAAGCTTGTCTTGGTGTAATGGTCAGTTCTTTAGGAAATGGAAATTATTTTCTTTGCCTTCTATCTTTTCATAAACTAAGTAAAAAAATAGGAAATATAGGCCATAGAGATGGGGGAAATTGGAACCTGCTTTGATGTGTTACAAACTTGACAGAGTATAAAATAAAGATTAACAGCATAAATCTTAGAGCTGGACATCCTGGGTTCAGATCCCATCTCTGCTTCTTACGCTGTGTGTGATTCCAGGCTAGGTCCTCAACCTTTCTTTACCTTCATTTCCTCATCAGCTCAACAGGAATGACAATCACACGATGAGTCTTGTAAGGTTGTTATGAAGATTGTGAACATGAATCTTGAATGAATGTGTGTAAGTTAAAAACAGTAACTGCCACCTAGGGCTTTGCAAGTGTTACCTATCATTGTTATCATTATTATTTTTATTTTTAGTGTTGGATAGAATTGGATGCTCTAGACCAGTGGTTCTCAAAGGTTATCAGCTGTCAGAATCACCAGGAGGGCTTATAAAATATGATTGATGGGCCCCACCCCCAGAGTTTCTGCCTCAGTAGGTCAGGGATGAGGTCTAAGACTTTGCATATCTAAGTACTGAGTATACTGAGGCTGCTGATCCAAGGACCACCCTTTGAGAACCACTGCCCTAGAGAATGGTATGACATCTGAAGGAAGAAATAAGTTGTGTTTTGCTTTTGTATTATTGTGATAGAGCACTTGAAGCGACAGCAGGCCTCATCCACAGTGTTGCGGGAGAACACAGCAAGTTATCTCGGTGTCACTGTAAATGGTAAGCCAGCTGCCCAGACCCTTTTCATCAGGTCCTTGCTATAACACTGCCCTTGGCAGCACAATGGTACATGTGGGACACTGTGGGCATTGAGGTCAGGCACAATTCCACCTCATTAAGCTGTTTAATGTCTCCGAGCCTCTGTCATCCTCATCTGTAAAATGGGGATGATAATTCTTACCTCCTGGTTTACACAATAGCTCTATGAACAGTGTCTGGTACATTGTAAGATACTGAACAAACTTTCCCTTCATAGGACCATTGGCAGGATGAAATGAGACAGTATTGTAAAATGCCTGGCATACATTAAAGGGTACTAACTACCTTTCCCCACCCAAATTCTTTCCTTGGGGCTCCAACCTAGAAACATTTACAGGTGAGAATAGGGTGGTCACCCAAAGTGAATCAGTGCAATTTGTTTTCAGGGTGTCTTGGCTCCTCTTTTATGTGCCCTCTCTTTCCTCTGCTTTTTCTGTCTCTCTTGAGTCTTGGCACAGGTAAGGTTTCCTATTGCTTCATCTGGCACCAGAGAGCTCCCAAGACCCCAGAAGCAGCTTCTGTGAATGCAGGCACCCTGCAGACTGCCACCTGGCCCCTGCTCTCCTGGGAAGAAGTAGTGCAATATATACTTCAGGGACCACTGATTAGCTTTAATTTTTTGCACTCCATTTCAAGGCAGGCTTTCTCAATTTGTTGTTGTTCTAATAAAGTTAAGTCTTTCAACCATTTTTAGATCAAAGGCACTTAGAAGAACAAGAAACTAACAGTAAAAAAGAAGATAGCAGTATGCTCTGGACCAAAGAAACTCAGGATCTAGAAGAGGACACAGAGAGGTAACAGAAAAAGCTGGGCTTCTAAAAGGATTTAATAAACTGTATTAGTGTGTTCATTTTTCTTCCGATATTGACAAATAAGAATGGGGAAAAAAGGTCTTTCTTCCTACTAGCCTGATAGCCCCTATTCCTAAAGGTTTTTTGTTTTTAATTGTAATTGTGATAAAATACACATAAACATAAAATTTTCAAGTGTACAGTTCACTAGTGTTAAGTATATTAACAATGTTGTGCAACCGATCTCCTGAACTTTTTCATCTTACAATACTGAAATTCTATGCCCACTAAAAACCCAACTGCTCCCTTTCCTCAGTTCTAGCAACCACTATTCTGCTTTCTGACTACTCTTGATACCTCACATAAGTGAAATCATACAGTATTTGACTTTTTGTAGCTGGTTTACTTCACTTAACATACTGTCCTCAGGGTTCATCCATGCAACATGGTCAGAATTTCCTTCTTTTTAAATTTAATTTTTAAAATTTACATCCAAGTTAGTTAGCATATAGTGCAACAGTGATTTCAGGACTAGATTCCTTAATGCCCATTTAGCCCATCCCCCCTCCCACAACCCCTCCATTAGTCCTCTGTTTGTTCTCCACATTTAAGAGTCTCTTATGTTTTGTTCCCCTCCCTGTTTTATATTATTGTTGCTTCCTTTCCCTTATGTTCATCTGTTCTGTGTCTTAAAGTCCTCATATGAGTGAAGTCATATGATATTTGTCTTTAACTGACTAATTTCACTTAGCATAATACCCTCTAGTTCCATCCACGTAGTTGCAAATGGCAAGATTTCATTCTTTTTGATTGCCAAGTAATACTCCATTGTACAGATATACCACATCTTCTTTTTCCATTCATCAGTTGATGGACATATGGGCTCTTTCCATACTTTGCCTATTGTTGATAGTGCTTCTATAAACATTGGGGTGCATGTGCCCCTTTGAGAC